ATGGGCCCCCCGAGATTTTTCGCCCTTGTCTGAGAAGGCTAGGTGCAGATCTTTCTTACCAGAAGATAAGGGGTGTGGCTGAAAGACAGCAGTAAGAAGGAGCCAGGGAGAAGCAGTAGAAAGGCTACAGAAAGTCAGAAGCCCAGAGGAGGGGGCACAGGAGGGGAGGGGGTGGGGGCAGAAAGAAGAGACGAAAGCAGACGATAGAACATTACTAGAGAGCAGGCAAGGAGGTGAAACGAGACAATTTTAGAGAAGAAATTTTTCGGTCGCTAACCGGACTCGAACCTGGGACCTTCGAATGAGGGGCCAACACCCTATACCTCTAGGTCACGAGAGCCCCCATATTGATTTTCGATTGAGTATTATGTTCTATATCGCTATGGAGAAAATCTGTTCATGTATCTGCCACATACAGATTTTCCAAACATCAACTTTTCTTACTACTGGTTAAAAGGATGGACAAACATTTACAAAAATCTGTCTGCAAAATTATGAGTTTAAAATGTTCACTTTTTTACAACCTTGATACTATGCATTTTTTGTAAACTAAATTTTTGCAAAACAAAGATCTTTCCTGGGTCAATAATATTAAGAATGACTTCATGTTTGAGAACTTAAAATATCAAATACTGGTATAAGCGTATCTTTGAATTCACCACGTTCTATCAAAATAAGCCAAGCAGTAGAAGAAACAAATTGTAGCATGTTATAAAGAAAGGACATTTTTATCCTTCCAGGAGATGTTCTTCACATGGTTGTGTCCAATTTTTGACCAATTAAAACTTCCATTATTCCAATATTAGTGTGATAAGAAAAAGATGAATGCAACCTATTAAAAGAGAGGTTCCACCGTCAGGGACACGAAGCAACCAATATCATAAATTGTTCTCAGTTGAATTGATTTAACAAGCAAATATTCAGGTCTTTGGTTAATTTTAAGACTCATTACTCGACATGACCAGGGGCCTTTTTTGAGAGACACCTAAATACAAACATGTAATTTGAAGTTGAACTCAAAACTCACAAATTATTGGTACATTTTAATTTCTAAAGTACTAATTGATTTAATGTCCTAATAGGGGACGTCAGTTAGTAGGGGGGAGGGAGAGAGAGAGAGAAAGAGAGAGAGAAAGGAGAGAGAGCGAGAGAGAGAGCGAAAGAGAGAGAGAGAGGGAGAGAGAGAGAGAGAAAGA